GCTGGGTTGTAATTAGAGCCAGACTAATTACAGAGGTAACTCTTCATGGAGCATTAGTGAACTGATTATTCTTTAAATGGACTCAATCTTTATTCCCTCATCCTCTTCAGCAATGGATGAACAGAACCTCCAAGTTAACAGCAGAAATGGTAACCCAAAGAGTCTGGCTACCTCCCTGCAAGCCTTTGTGTTTGAACTGGTTGTGGTTGGCACTTTTGATGCTTCTGTGCTGAGCCTTTACACTAGAAAATGAATCTCAGCTGCACCATCATTGCAGACTCCATTCATGTCAGGGCTATTATGCTCAGAGAGGAAGCAGCTGCTCCTTCAAGACCTGCATGCTTGGGATCAGAGATGGACAGCTGTCACTGCCACTGGTAAAAGCAATTTGGAGGGGAGGGAAAAGACACATAACATGTAATGGAGATGGAAAGGCTTATTGCTGTGTGATCCTGTTCACTGCTATTGCACAGTTTTGCCAGGGCCTGCTAAAACAGACATTTCTCCTGCTTATGCACAAGAGAGCAAAGTAACTCTTGTTTGGCAGACAGTGCAGAGCTTGGGATCTTCTCATGTGATTCATTACAACAGCTGTGTGAACTTGTGGTAGGGCAAGAATAGAAATAAGGGTTAAACATGGAGCTTGTGCTTAAAGGCATGTTGCTTTGGAATGAGCTGAGGTATGCACCTGAGGAGTTGCTCTTGTGGTGAAATTTTGCCAGCATACAGCTTTGCTCACATTAAACCTTTCTCCAGGAAGATGCTGTAATCAGGGCAGAACTGTAAGAGTCAAGCTGTTCTCTATGGGCCCTTCTGTCCATCCTCAGGGTCTCTTTCAGACTGGCTGCAAAGGCTACCTAGTGGTCAACAACAGGTCAGAGCTGTGGAAATTAGGGCAAAGGGGCTCTCTCAGATTCCCTGTTCCTGGGAAGCAGCAGATTGCAAACTGCAGGCAGGTGACTCCTCTTGGACAAACTTTGGGGCAGTTGATTCTGGTGCAGATCAGATGCTGACCTACACTGGATAAGAAGCCAAGGACCTGCATGATGCTGGTTCCTCCTTCTCTCCAATGTGCTTTTCTCACAGACTGCTTTCTGCACAATCAGGTGGGTTGCTTTTGCCATCTCTGACTCCATATTAAACAGAGATATTTGTGTTCCTGCTTTCCTGATCCAGAGCACCTGCAGACTTCATGGCATATGCTAGAATCACAGAAATATAGAATAATTCAGCCCCAGGAAGTCTCCACTGCAATTTGATACTCAAAGTAGGGTCAGTGTTTAGCTGAGGTTGCTCAGGATTTTATCTGTTGCAGCTTGATAAACTTCCAAGGATGGAGCCTGTACACAAATGTGTGTCCACTGTTTTGCTGGCCTCGTAATGATATTTTTTCCCTTTAATGTCATCAAAACCTTTTGTCTTCTTTCTTTCATCCTCCCACTACACACCACTATAAAAAGACTGGCTCCATTTTCTCACTAGCTTCCCTGTAGGTATTGGCAGGCTGCTGCCACAGCCATCTCTTTCTCAGGCTAAGCACTCTCTCTGCCCTCAGCCTTCCCCCACAGGTCCCGTGCTTCACTCTGTCTGACAGTGCATCCTTTGTCATTGACCTTGGACATGTGCTCTGCTCTCAAAATACATTCCAAGAGGCATCAGTCACTGGACAAAAGCATTTTTTTAAAAATTAGAAATCTCTGTATTAGAGGTACTTCTGATCTGCTGGAAGCAGTGGTCTCTGGACATACCCTCTGTTTCATGGCTGGTGGGAAATAAGGAGATATCCAAAGCAATTGTCTGGTGGATGAGAGCCACTGCCACCACAGTGATAAAACTTAGGAGAATCAGGGCAGAAAACAATGTCAGTAGAAGGAGGAAACACAGTGTTTACCCCAGTGGTGATTTGTGTCCCCAGGCTTGCAAGCAGAGCCCAGCTGCCCTAGGGAATAGTGCATCACTTCAGCCACCACGTGTGGCTTCAGTGACTGGACTGAAAGAACCAATCCTCCACCCAACAGTTCTCTAAGAAATTTCCTGTAGTCTCCATTGATTTTCTTTTGAGAGGGAGACATACATATAGCTTTGCTTTTTGTTTTCCTTTTACATAGAGAGAGCTTTAATTAGTGGCCTTTGAATTAAACTATTAGATGTGACCACCTGTGGTATCTTGAGGTTATTCACATTTTTAAGTGTTTTTAAATGTTGGGTCTAAACCACCCAGAGATTTTACAGCAGGGGGAAAATACTCAGTTGCCTGGATGCTTTCCCATTACCTTACGCCACAGGAGCGGCATACAGGAGCTAAAAACAAGTCTGAGTCTTGTAATAATGTTTCTGCTACAGGAAACATTTCTTTTAGGATGTGGGAGGGCAAATGGGGAGCTCAACTTGTTTTGCTGCAATGTATTTGCTTCTTTGTCTCACTCACTAAAAGGACAAGACCTGAGTAAAAATGGTGATGATTTATGTCTACTTTATTTTCTTCAGACAAACACTTGCCCATAGCAGTCATATAATTTCCTTCCTCTCCTCCTCTTTGTACTATGATGACCTTGTCTTTGTCAGGGCTTCCTCCAACTCATCCCATCCCATGACATCCCAGTAGCTCTTCTCCCTGCAGCTTTGTCCAGAGTTTTAATTTCCAATTTATAAAGGAAACCTGTTATCCACATCCGCTCCGTAGAAAAGGTGAATGAAAAAAGATGGTATTTTATTCCTCAGTTGTTCTGCTGATTATCAGAATCTTCATAGGACAGTTACTATGCTCTTTTTATGATGATTCTGCTAGTCTCTGCCATTTACAAAGTCCTTTTATCAGTTAAGGTTCTGTGTTACTTTATGAACTTATAATAGTCATATGCATGGAGATCCATTTGGACATAAACAGGATGGGTGAGCTGCAGCAGGTTCTTAAAAGTGCTTAAAAGTAGGGGAGCACTGCCCAGTAAATACACCTGGAAAACCAGCCTGCAGAGCAGTGTCTACAGCTCCAGAATATCAGAAGCTCATTAGGTTCCAAACCCGAACCCAACATTGCACTTCACAGATTCTATTTTATTTTTCAATGTATATATGCCAATAACCTGGCAACAGTCACAGCCCCAGGTAGTGCTGCATGACCGTGTGCTAAGGAGAGAAAAGAGAAATATTGTCCTTCACAAAGAGGAAACGCTCGGTTGGGCACTCTTAATATTACAAGCTGGTACTGAAGACAGAGTTTTCTCCTAAATGATGAATAGCAGGGGTGATCCCAGGACAGTTTACAGCAGGGAAGAGCAGAATATGATTCTGGACCTAATAAAACAATGAACTAGGACTAGTCCCCAGACACCAATCCTGCTTTTCTCCCATTTCATAGGAAAGTCATGAGCCTACCAAAAGCAACAGAAATTTTGCCATTGGCATACACAGGGTTTTTGACCTATTGATCTCTTTTCAGAGCAATTTACCATGAGATTTCAGGCTCTGAAATTGGAGTGTGGATGAGTAATGTAGCTTGTACAGTGGAGCCCTGCTCTCAGCACTCTCTGAAGTCAGGCTTCCAGGGCCAATGCTGATGTGTGGAATTTCACAACTCAATCCATCAACATTCTCTAATATCCTCCCAGTGATTGCTGTTTTCATGAGCAGCCTGATATTTAATTAATTCTAAACCTGCACAAAAGTAGCCTGTTTGCAGAGCAGATGAAGTGAATCTAGCACAAGCAAATATTATCTGTGTATTTTTGTCACGAACAGATAGCTCTGCTAGCTACAGAGGGGGGAGCTCAGATTAATTCTGTGAATCTCAAACCCAAACAATATAGAGGAGAGACATAAACACACTGTACATTTAATGGGTATGCACCTTCTGACAGAAACACTGGTTACTGTTGATTAGCACATATAATTTTGATCATATTGGATTTA